AATAAAGTCCTGAAGTTCATATAAAAATAATGGATTTCTTTTTCCCCAAACTAATATTTTACCTATTTTCGCCATCAAATTTCAAAAATTATCGCTTCCTGCGCTTATTTTCCATAGGGAGTCTTATACGAGCAAAGATCATAAAATATACCTATGTGCGCCAAAATTTGCACAGCACATTAAGATATAATACTGTTTGGGTATTCAGAAAGTCATTTCGCTTACATTTTTTTTTTTTTTTTGAGTCAAAATGAAAGGCTATTGTCTTTCTATCTCTCAGTGAACTCATGACTTGTCGCAAGCGGTTTTGTAATACTTGATGCTTTTGCTTTGTTTCCATTTGTTTCAAGCTACTTTTCAGAAAGTGCCTCTTTGCGTTGAGAATTTTCCAAAGCGAAATTTTGCGAACCAGTTTTTGCATTGGCCTTCTGCCAATACATCTTCTCTCTTGTCTGAACAGTACTTTTACCTTTTTGATAGTAGAAAAGTGAAATATGTCGGAAATGTTACTTTGAACTTTCCGCTTTTTCGTAAACAAACCCTGCTTGGTCGGTTGTCAAAATATACAATGTCTTTGGCTATGAAAAGTACAAGTAAATTTTCTGTTGGAAATGACTTTCCGAACATCCTAATATTATACTGGAGAAACTCTTATCATGAAACTTTAGAACTTGTTGCCACGTGAGGGATTTTTTCTTTTTTTCTTGTGAAAGAACGTTTAGATGGCAGCGGGTTCAAAAGATGATTCCATCTGTGATCTAAACTGTATACATTCATCTAGTGTGCGGAAATGCACTGCTTTTCACAGATTTCTGTCAACAAATGTTTAAAGTTTTAGGCTTTTTTTAGAGGTCCAAAAAATATTGAACAGGATTTGTCCTTTGACCAAGACATGTCAATGTACAAAATTTCGTCAAGGTATCTCTAAAATTAGGACCTGACAACAGATGGACGAACAAGGAGGTATTATGCTTAAACCGATTCATACAATGATTTTGAAGCGCTTGGTATGACGAAAGCTGGACCTTTTTCAAGTCTATCTGCAAAGACTTTTCTATTGGATAAGTGCTGCAGAGCGAGTGCAAGAAGAGTTTATTGAGTAAAGATAGATCAGAAAAATGTTTAATGAATATTTGCGTTTTTCTTGCATTCGCCAGAGCCAAAGACCCAAATAAAGGACACTATTAAATAAAAACTGTTTCCAATTAAAAAAAAAAAACAATGGATTTGAAGTTAATCGAATAGATTTTGTAGCGCGACTGGTCGCAAGGTTTCGTTAGTACTTTACAAAATGCAATTAGGGATATTGCCGATATCGATTAAAAGAAAGAAATAGATACCCACTGAACGTTACGTCAAAAAGAAAAAAAAAAAAAAGAAAAACATTGAACGTCAGTTCGAATTTTTTTATTGCAATCTAAAGTGAAAATACCGGAAAATGAAGTATTGTTCAACGAAACGTAAAAATTTCAAAGCAAAATGCACCACATTTTCCCAAATGCACAAGTGTGCGTGCGAAGTTTTCGCGTCCAAGCAAGAAGTGTAACTCAACATAAATTTTAAAAGTTGCTCGAGTTTCAAGAAAATTAAAAAAAAAAAAAAATTTTATTATAAGTTTTCAAAATAATTTTCAATTATTACTTACGCTTTTAAACTTATTTCCCCTTATCCGTCCCCCAAAGCTCGTAACATCTACTAGCTTTTCTCATCTGTCTTTTACGATTAAATTTTTCATTTGTTTTTTCCAACTATACGTGAGTATGCAAACACCACACTCCTTGTTGTCTGTGTACGTTTGTGTTGTCATTTGTTTTTCGTATTCAAGCGCTCGTTTTCTTCTCAAAATTGATGTTGTTTATCAGCAAAATAAACTCATTTTTTATATTGGTTATTAAACATTGGTTACGTCATTTCAAGGTCATTCGACTGTAAAATTAAACGCAACCTGATTTTTTGGTGTTAAAACAAAAAAAACTAAAATATACATTTTTTCTTATTTATTTCTTATTTTGTTGTTGTTGTTGACTTGAACGCATACGCCGCATACGAGACGAGCATATGCTTGCATTTTCATTCCAAAAATAATTCAATGTTTAAATGTTTTTCTCTTCGTTCATATATATCCCAAATACATATAAATCAGCGTAAGCCGGGTCTCAGAAAGCAAAACAAAAAGGTAAAAGATGCACGATTTTATTTTAAATAGCGAATCTGACATGAGAACAAATATGTTCAGCATTTGAGTTGTCTCAGTCCGTCTCTACTCTTCTTAAGCTTTCAAGTCTGAAGCATTCGAGTTAAGTTGTTTGCAAAGATCTTATACTTTACACCTTAAGGTAATTAAACTTTTGGTTTCGCAGTTGTGAATAGAATATTTTTTTGTGTCTATGGCTACATTAACTTCACCTGTAGAGATGATAATACCCCACGTGGCTAGTGTTCAGCATTTTTTCCTTTTAATGTAAGAATTTAACTTTTTGTTTAGTTTCAAAAATTTATAATAATAACAGTAATAGCTTTGGCAAATGGATGTAACGCTTTGACATATGCGTCGGAGATTCAAATATTACATCAAGGAAAAAGTTTGTGGCGTTTTCCCTAACACATGTTTACTTAGCTTAGACGTCTGAAGACGAATTGATGCTGATCTGTACAATTAATTACTTGCTCTCAAATTCCATACAAGGGCATGATGTAAAAGATACGATACACGATACATTGTCTAATACAATGCAACATTTCGTCTATATGGGCCAGAGACGGAAGTTAAAAGTGCATTTTAAGCTGGCTTCATATTTTTCGTTTCATTCAATGAACTCACAAATAGGATAAACTTATATTTGCAATAAATAATAGCAATTATTATGGTAAGATAAGTTGTTCCTCTTTCGCTAAACTTTAGTTTGAGTACTCGCCCGCTTCTTTTACTAAGACGGCAGTGGATCGGGATGCCCCGCGGAAATGGTAGACAGAAAATTCTTCATTTTTCCAATTCGTCACAAAAGGACAGCCTAAAATTGTTCGCAGGAAAAACGTGCAGGTTCCAAGGGCGGTACGTAATCAATAAATGTCAAACGCAATTAAAATGTTTTGTCATTTTATGTTTACGTTATTTGCCTTATTGTTATGAGAACGTTACCCTACGACTAAAATTTTTTCCAAAGTTATTCAATATCGCCTTAATTAGGAGGCTTATAGTGGATGTAAAGTGGAGGTTTTCTGAAATTGTCGCAAAATGAGTAGGTGACTCGACGAAAAATTTTAATAATATTTAAACGTTGTTAAGGAACAACTGGCTTAGCAAACTTTAATTAGAAAAGGGGGCATATAACCCAAAAAAAATAGATAGAAATGAAGAAAACTGGAAATCGAAACAAATCAGAAAAATGTGACGGCATAATCTCAAAAGCAGCGAAGAAAGGCGGCAATCGAAAATTTTTAGGGTAAAAAAGTGTTATTTTCACTATAGGAAAGATCCATAAATGAGCTGACCTGACCTTGTTCAGGTAAATACTTCTTGTCCTAAGGAAACATGTTAAAACCTAAGAAATAGAACTGCACTGAAATTTTCACGCAAAGGGATTTCGGCAACTATTTATATCGTTTGTAAGGGCTCAGGTTCACTTTGACAAAGGAACTCCACTATAAATAAATCTCCGGCCATATTTCAGCTTATCACGTTCATCATAATCACATCGCCGTACATGATCAGACGAGTCAGTAAGAATGTAGACAATTAGCTCTATGTTCGCCAGTTCAAATCTCAATGTGGTAGAGTTTACTTTGGGCGTAGTCGATAAAGGGCGTAACACATCCAGTAAGGCTGCGGTCGCTTTCCTCTCTCTTTTTCTCGCCTCATTTCTTTCCGACCATCATAAATGAAGTGATTGCTCATACGAGAAGAAACAAAAACCTATGATTTCTGTTTCGTTCTTGGTGATGATATTATTCGTGGGTTCGAATCTCAAGTGCGGAGACTTTTTAATAAAAGCCGATAGCCTTAGATGGTAGTGCTTTTAAGAGTTTAGTCTTAGAATTTATTTCTCTGGCGAAATTAATAATAATAATAATATTCTAAATTTATTTAACCATTTCATCTCATTAATGATCTCTTATTAGAAGTCTCTTAAGCAGGAAAATTTAGATAAAACAGCGAATGTTGCTATGCAAATTATGCTTTTAAATAGGCGTGATCTGCCCTAACCAGTAATGAAAACCAGTAATAATTTTCACGTCCCACAAGATATCATTTTACCGAGCAGGTGCCTGTTAACCAACTATTATGAGCTGCAATTATTGATAGTCTCTTGAAACAGTCGCTTCAAATGGTTTGTTTATGATGTGTGTGTGTGTAGACATCATAAACAACAATTTGAAGAAAGCAACATACTTCAGACTTTGAAGGGATAGGCAACGTATACACCGGGTTAGTTAAACCAACACGTTGTCCGAAATACATATGTTCACCTGTACGCATATAAAAGCAAACATATTGGTTAGTTGTAAGAGGCAAAAAAGAAAAAAAAATATTTGAAAAACTTGTTTTTCATCTGAGCGCAAACAAACACAGTCAACGCCATTGAATTTTGTTCGTAACACAGTTCTTGCAAGCCTAAGCAACCATTTTAGGAGATCGACTAGCATGACAAAAACTTGTCTTGGCTTTTTCATTTTTTTTTTTTTATTTCGATCTATGCGATAATGAATTGTGTTGTTGTAAATTCTAGCTTATTCCACTCTGACCGGTTAACGATTAAAATTTAAATTACGTTTGAGTTGCATTTCGCACTTTTGTTCTTTTAACATATAACTCAAGATCGAGTTCAAGACTTTACAAATTAAAAATTTTTTGTTTTATT